AAACACTGTAAAAAACTACTCTGTTGAGGGTCCTCCTTCCGAGGCCCACCTTTCATGGACGAGATGATTCAGTACACTAAACTAGCCTAAAAAAAGTAGTTCTATGCATATCTGTCCCATGTTCCAACAGCTGCAGCTGCGAAATAAGCGTTTAATGTTTTGAACAAACTATTATCTGAAGAGCTTTGAGTGTGTTGGTTTATTTCCTTTTACTTCCGTTATAATTGCTTATCTTTTGACAGACACGCGTATTTCGTCTACTACTTGCAGAATTCATCAGTGCCAAGTACTCAACACCAATGGCACTGATGAAGTCTGCAAGTAGTAGACGAAATACGCGTATTGGTCAAAAGATAAGCAATTATAACGGAATTAAAAGGAAATAATCCAACGCACTCAAAGCTCTTCCTAAAAGGAATTCCGTTGAGAGGTTCGTCAAATTTAAAGATTAAACTATTATCCCACGGTGAAGTTCTATCTACGATGCAGAAAAGATTGTGTTTTGCTGTGGCTAGCTGCACGCACGCTGAGTAGATAGAAGGAAGATTTATGTCGATTTTGAAGATTTCCGGCAAAAAGATGAAGCACGTTGCAAGTAGATGCGAGAAATTAAAGATGATTTTTCGAAGATTGATTCGCTAGTGTGAGATTTTTTGAGCATCTAGAATTGAGATTTAGATGTGTCGCCCCCCTCGTACGAAACGTCATTTTAAATTGCTCAAATCAATCATGTTTTTTTTATAATCCATTTATTTGTAAAGGCTCAAATGCGGTAGCTTTGCGGAGCCAAATTAATTTAAATGTAATTTTTTATAATTTGTTTTACAACTAAAGTTAGTAGAATGGGGGCCGAATACTCGCGGTATACTCGAGATTAATACATACATTTATTTAGAGGATTGGAAGGGGGCAAAGGGAAAGGGATATTGGTAAATCTTCTTTCTGCTTCATTCGACGGATGAGTGTCACTGCACTGTATTGGCGGGCATGTGCTGTGGATATCGAAGCATTGAAAGCACAGCTGAAATGATACAAGAGGGGACTTGGGTTGGGATAGTGATGAAAGAATGAAGGAATTAAAACACAAAACACTACTACATACACAAATCAGCACTTTTTAAAAATACGTATATTAATCTCATAACATCGAGATCACGGCAAGCCAGAACGTGGTGTATAAAGTTGTTGTATAAAGTTGTTTCCCTCGGGCCCTGAGGGATTCAATTAGTTCGGATCTCGCCACATGATGTGAGGTGCAAGACTAGACAACATACTCAATGTCGTGATAGCCGTTTCCACAGGCACACAAACTGCTATCTACAAGCCCTATGCGGTAGAGGTGTGCGTTTAACGAGTAGTGATTGGACATGAGCCTGGACATTACCCGGATAAAATCGCGATCCACGTCCAATCTCTTGAACCAGGGTTTGATCGACACCTGTGGGAGAAATCAATCATATTGTCCAGTGGCGTTTCCTTAACCTCAATCTACCTGTGCACCAACTCTCAAAATAAACAATTATCAAAATATTGCTTGCAATGGATGGATATCGAGTAAACTAGAAGTTTTAGTGTATTTTTCAACCGATTCGAGTATGAATATGGCATTAAATCTGGCTTTGAAAGTTGGTGCACTAGTTCAAAGTGAGGTTACGGGACGCCAATGATATTGTCGAGCATTTTTTAGACGACCTTGTACCAGTGATTTTAAGAAAATTGAGTAACAAATTCCTTATTTTTCTAGCTTAGTATAAACAAATAAGACACTATTTTCGCGAATTTTATTCAAAATATTGGTCCACGGCAAAGTTTGAGTGGTAGGAAATATCATTTTAAGGTTCAATTTACTTGGATGCTTTTTGGAAAATTTCAAAAGCAGTTTTTTCCGACGCATTATTTCAGATTGCAAAAAGCTCGCACTATTCGATTCCTTTTGATATTTTACACAAAATGACGCGAGCTTTTTGCAATCTAACATAATGCGTCAAAAAAAACTGCTTTTGATTTTTTTTTTTTTAAATCCTTCATAGTAAATTGAACCTTAAACTGCTCGAATGATACCACATACCACATGATCCATGGCCACTCTTCGCCAGCCTCGTAGTCTGCGAAGGGTCCGCCTTCTACTTGGTCGATCCACCTTGGCCACTGCGCGCCTCTTCTTCTTGTTCCTGTTGGGTCGTCGTGCGGCATTCTTACGATGTACCCAGCCCACCGTAGTCGCCCAATTTTTGCAATGTGGACGATTGATGGTTCTCCCAGCAGCTGGTGCAATTCGTGGTTCATTCGCCTTCTCCACGTTCCGTCATCCATCTGCACTGCACCGTAGATGGTACGCAACACCTTTCGTTGGTCCTCCACGAGCATAGTCCAGGTCTCGTAGCCGTAGAGAACCACCGGTCTAATCAGCGTCTTGTAGATAGTCAACTTTGCGCGGCGGCGAATTTTATTCGACTAGAGCATCCTGCGGAGTTCAAAGTAGGCACGATTCCCTGCCATAATGCGTTTTTGAATTTCTCGTCTTCCTTCAGATAACAACTTGGGTGCGGTAAAATCGATAGAACTGTTTCAAACACATCGTCGGTACATAAGCGAGTCGGCGATCATCTCTTTTTGCCAGTGGTGGCGGGGGGAATACCCCTCATCATCCCTCTCCAACGGGGAGTTTGGTAAAGAGAGATAATCAAACCGATTTGTATCTTCCTAAAAAGTTGTTCTTGCTCGCTTTCTACTCTCTATATACAATTTTCACACTGCCGTACTCTAACGGAACTATCAACTCTATACTTTCATCTCCTCATCTATCGTATAAAAAAATACCACCAAGTGACGTGTTTAAATTTTGCTCTCGTGTTTTACAAATTGTGAAGTTTCTTGCCAACATGTTTTTTTGCGTATTGGAATGTTTGAATCTGAGAGTGGAACAGTTAGAGCTGATCGGAACAGGGATCGTGAGCTACCATCTGGAGGTTCATCGACAATGCTGCAATGACGGTGCGTTTATACCGATGCACTTCTTCCCGAGGCCAGAGCAAGGGGAAACTGATTTTGTTATTATCAGGATCAAGGAGATGGAGCTCCATTTGCGAGAACAATTGATCTTAAAAATCACGAAGAGGCGGGCTAATTACAGATCATTCGGGTGAGATCCTTCCATTTTATTTCATTTGTTTGCATTATAATTCAATTAGTATTCATAAAAACGTTACCAAATTATGTCCCAGGGTTTAAATTGAGGAGCTCGGCTAGCTTGGTGGCTGCCACTTTTGCTTACTGAGTAGAAGATCGTGGGTTTACTCCCAAGCTCCTCCAAAATAAAATTATTCCTAAGGTCGCATCGCCTGCTTAAGCGAATCTTGACCCAACTCCGTAGCATATATGGGGGCGTCGGTGAGTCGCTGGCCTCTCGTTAAGTATATGGTACACCAACAATATTCGTGCTTTTCCCGTAACGGAGCATTCCTGGTTTGGAGATGGGGCTGTCCCGAGATGTGTTTATGACAAGTGGGAAGGAACTCTGGGTCTCCCAGTGTTGGTGAGTTCTTTGCCGTTAATGTTCAAGAAAAGTTTTGCCATACAGAAATTCAAAACAATAATTTTTATGGGCGGGTTTGGACAGTTTTTTACCTGTTTCATACGACCCGAAGGTGTATGCTGGACACTTTGATGTGAATTTCGCTAATAAATACGAGGAGCATTTCTTATAGCAAAACTTGCCATAACAAAATGGGCATAGTTTATTTTAGTAAACAAACTAACACTTCTTCCTACTGTGTCACCTATGTATTAGGCGCCTAGGGGCTGGCCGGCAATGGCTATTGTCATGCTTTTCCTGTTCTGTATTCGGAATGGAAAGCTACCCTAATAAAAATAACCATTAAAGAGAGCTTAACGACGTGTTCGGGGTATCATCCAAACCATTTGTGGGATAGTTCACCCATCCGGGATACAGTTCGTTTATGGTATTTGTTTATTAGGGTATTCACTCCCAAATAGTTTTCCTTAAGAAATTAGAATAAGAACGTTAAAGTAGATACATGATAGTTATCAGTAAGCCATCTACGAATTACTCCTTGTTACTTTTTATGACTTGATAATATAGTGACAAGACTCAGGTATTGACCGCCGCGCCGTTATGCATTTCTATATTGTATACTTTAAATCAAAAATATTTTTACGTTCATAGATTTCACATAATCCTTTTCCCTTTGTCCTTCTTCTCTTTTCATAAAGCGAGTAATGGCGCTATAGCCATAAGTCATAAAAGGCTAGGACAAGAGTTAGTGCTCATGCCCCAACCGTCAGAAGAAAATGGAGCATCACTTAACCTTTCTAGCTTTGATGCTTCCAACGAGCTACCAATCATACAATTACCAAAATCGGTTGTCCACGTTTCATTCATTTATTGGATTCTGAAGCATCGTGTTTAAATCTTCGAATTAAACAGGCCCGATGTTTTCTGAATCATCTTGCTGCACAGTAGACCTGGCCGTTTTGATATGTGTGACGCTTCTTCGATGTGAAACATAATATCAAATAGACAAGAAAAATGATGTAGGTATATATATATCATTTTCCAGGATGCTTTCAAGAACTGACTGTGTTGGTGTTAGATTAGATTAGATTAGATTAGATAAGACTATAGTCTGTTATTTGAAATTAGAAACTTCAACTACATTTAAGAAAGTTTCAATTCTTTTAATAATGAAAACATTCTTCTGATTTATACATGACTTTGAAAAGCTTGTGACTTTCAGGGTCTAAACCCTGAAAGTTAAATGATGAATCTCAAAATAGTAAGTTGAGATCACGTATCCTTTTTTAAACATAGGAAGTTCTTCCTAGTTTAATTTACTGGTCTCGAAATGTTTTGCATGGATTGAAGAAACTTCATTCAGTTATTTTATTTAAATCGATTGGAGAAAAATGCTCTGCATCTGAGAGAAGTATTGTGATGGTAATGGATTGACCGAATGCTTAAAATAACAACCAACTTTCCATAAATTGAACAATCACTATTTTATTTGTCTTTTATCGTTTGCTTAAACTGTGAGTATCGTTTTATTAGATCGAAACTGCTTGTGCAAGAAATGTTTCTAATATGTGCAACTATGTTCCACACTTATCAGGACTAGATCGAACTCAATGCCATTAAAACTTGTCTTCCTTCTAATAATAGTAAACAAAAGTATGTGCAGATTGCGTCCTAGGTTGGCGGGTCGCGTGTTATCAGTGTTATAAATGTTGTTAATATTGGCTATACGCTCGACGGTGGCGCGGTGTCGTAATTATCGCCGATGACGTTGAATCTTCGCTTGTGCTGCATTGTCTCGTCGTAGGTTGTTGATAGAATAACGGAAGCAAAGTGTGACGTAGCAGCAAGCAGCTATTGTCGTTAATGCTATTATTCCTGCTTTGGTTTCTTGTAGTACCATGCAGCCAGGAGGACGGAAGTACTCAGAATGGTCGAGATTCCAAAGTTGGCCAGCAACATCTTGTCTGCCGAATCCAGCAGAATGGTATAAATGCGAGCTGGAATAGATTTAGTTTTTGTGTTGTTGGAATATGAACTGATCTGGCGAGGTTACTTACTTGAATTGGTAAATGCCGATAGGGCCCAGGTTATGAGGCTAACCGACTGCGAATCCTTGGATTTTAGAATTGCGACTAGTTGCATGACTTTACTAGTGGCACCCACCGGGGTCGTCAAAGGCTGAAACACGAAAAAAAGGAAGCAAATTCAGTAAGATTCTTATTATCTTTTCAGACTGATACCTACCACAAGCATCATAATCAAACTACTGGGAAGAACTCCGATGGCAAAGGCAGAAAATACCGCCACGTAAACACCACTCCAAATGTAAGCAGGTTTGTTCAGCATATTTTTATATTTGAGAACCACATACACTAGTACGTATTCCTGAACCAAAAGGATAGGATACTCCATGTAAGACAAGAAAGCATACCCATTCGTAAAGTTGTACAACATCGTCACAGTGTAGCTGCACAGTTCCATCAATAGTCCATTCAACGATAATCCTGTTGCGGACCGCAACTGGTGTACCGTTTGAATCTGCGGTACTTTCGACACCAAGCAGGACGCTATGGTAATCAAGGACAATAAGTCCGCTATAACGTACAGGATGCCTCGATCGTCTAGAAGATCCATTTCTTGGCGGTCTTTGGTTATGTAATGGGACCGAAACGACTCAAAACTATGTTCAGGAGAATCGGTCAAGTTATCTTTGCAGTTTAAAATCGACTAGCAACTCAGCATCATAGGCTCTTCCTCGATTACGTTCAGCTGGTGAATAAAAATAGAACAAAAACAGTGGATGTGTTATGGGGACAGGTATGCTTCGCTTTTAATTTTGCTTATGAAAAACGCACAGAAGATGCACTGCAAAAAGAATATAGAGTCATGTACTAAAATAAATAAGAGCAGATACGAAAAACAAAAATATAAACATTATTTTACGACTAAACCATTCAAAACAATACATACCCACGCGCGCCGATGATTCAAAATAATACCATCAATCAGACAGGAAAATGTAGTCGCGTGGCTAGAAAAAGTATTACTGACTAGTGAATTTTCATGCCACCGCCGGTAGAATTTTTCACTCTACTCAAGGGCACACTCTGCCAACGCAGCTGGCAGATAAAAAAAATTGGCTGTGTGGCGGTAATTGACACCGCTAGTTGCTGGCTTATGACTCGTTCGTTGATAAAAAAAAAACGCACACCGTGGAAGAAAAAAAAAATGATGCAGTTGACGCAATGTTCTGTGCACCAACACATAGGCGGTCATTCATATTTGCTTATGTTTTTGTTGAACTGATCAGCTGGTTATTTTCGTGGTATGTTTTCGAAAGTAAGGATTGGTTGCTGACATGTGTCAATGTTACAATGACATTGATATTCGGATAGTCTTGAACGAAAAGGGATGAACGAGCCACATTTATCACAATACTCACGGTGTCTCTGGTAGGATAAAATTATTATGAAAAAACCAGTACGCTGAAACATCCACCAAACAAAATCTTAGGTACTCCTCTTTTGTTTGAGGCTAGTTTCAAAATGTTCTATCGGGGATCATTTTCCCATACATTTTTTGGGTTCAATGGTCGAGAGAGTTATTTTTTGGACAATACTCAAACCGAAAAATACGAAAAAAAAAAAAACTTCTAGACCCCCGATAGAATCACATGAAAGGGGTGACCCACAGACTGTGGGCCACAGTCGTCCATAACTGTGAAAAGACGGTCAAAAGTTATTATCTCGTGAATCTGCAGACTAGTGGTGTCTGCAGAAAAGTTTCTGGATATGAAAAGCCCCTTTTTTTGACATTGACAGATCAATAATTAATCCCCCACTTCTAATACTTAAGAGATGAACTAGCCTTAGGCTAAAAATCTCTCTAAAAAAGGAAAAAAAAAAACTTCTAATACAATTATAAAGTGAAACCTTTTACTAAGGGGGTTTCCACGTAAAACGTATCATGTCTTCAGCAAAGTTTGTTGTTTTGATATTTTATAAAACTTTGCCAAAGACACCGATACTGAATGAGAATCAAAAAAAAGTTGGATCTGTCTTCTCGGGGGATTAATCATCATCAATGTCAATGTCAACAGAAGGGGCTTTTCATATTCAGACGTTTTCCCGAAGACACCACTGGTCTAAACTGTAAGATTCATGAGATAATGACTTTTGACCGTCTTTTCATAGTTCTGGACCACTGTGTAACCCTAAGCTTTCGTTTGGTGGGTGTTTCAGCGATACTAATTTTATTTTTTAATAAGTTTTTCTTCCATGGCCTAAGCATTTTAAGACCACACTTTGTAAGCAAAAATACCGTTCAAATAGTATTCACCTAGGGGCAAGTCAGTGCTAACATTTGAAAACGGCGCAAAAGCCATTTGTAAACAAATCTAGACAAACATTTCAAAAGGTCCTATCTGTCATTGAAGCTGATTGGAGAAAAATTGATTTGAACTTTTGCAATATATTTTTAAATGCCTTTTTTAATTACGACATAAAACGATAATCTTTTGTATTCTCAAATGCATAGGAAACACATAGAATTCGACTGAAGTGTATGTTTCTTCGTTTTATTCATAATTTTCAGGTTTAATTCGTGGTTTTGTTACATAGGACCTTTGGCTTTTTTCTGTATCAGTTAGGACCTGTCAAATTGGTCTGATTGCAAAGTTAATGTTACTTAGGACCTAGGACTACTATTCTGCCAATTTATTAAGTAAACTACGTTTATATTAAGAACTTGTCCATTATTTTTTTCTGATGTATGCAGGAAAAATGTAAGTGTATGGAAAATTTGCATATTTTTTAATATCGGTATATTTTTATAAACAAACTCTACATTCATTCTACATCATTCGTTTTACATTTATTAGCTCAAGCTGTTCATCAATAATTTACATTCATTCATGTTATTCGATCAAATCTACATCGCTGTCCTCCAGTGGATTGAGATCCACATCAAAGTGGTCTACAACCGTATTATTGTTCTTCTTCCTGTTTTTTCTGTTGCAATGTTGCAAAATAATCTTTTTGCTTGACATATGGCATCAGTTTGCGTAAATCGTCCAATTCAGCACTTGGCAATCCAAGTGGTTGATCCGCAATTGGATCGAAATCCTCGTCCAAATTCACGCTTGTATTATCGCATGTCGGATTTGACAGAATTTTGAATAAGGTTTTGCCTTGGTGTACTCCTGGAATCGCAATTAATTCGTCAACTTCATACCAGAAGCAGAGCGATTGATTACAGGCATCGTAAATGAAACTTTCTCATATCCCACTTCCCAGTTAGATGTTGGATCCATAGGAATTTCTAAAACTTCATGTTCATATTAGTATAGCATTTCCAACTAACTATTATGAGTTTTAGTTTTTCTATTCCACGTGAAACACGAGATGAAACAAAGGTCCTAATAGCATTTGTATTTGTTTTTGGTTGAATGACAGATTGGACTGTAAACATGTTTAAGGTCCAATCAGAGAGCTGTGCGATATTATAAAAACTTTCAAATTGGACGTTTTTTTCACATATTTTTATAATTTTCTGAATATTGATAATTAAAATTTCTAGAACAATACTTAGAGATGGTGAGCTCTGCAGTACAGAGAAGCATTAAACTCGATTTGTTTACAATTGTCAGATAGGACCTTTTGAAATGTTTATCTAGAAATGGTTTGTGGGCCCTTTACTCGCTACCCGAAGAACGCCCACGCAAACCAACAGCATCGTCAGGAAGGGGAAAATTTCCCCTACCCGATGTTGCTGTTGTGTCGCGTGGGTGTACTTCAAGTAGTGAGTAAAGGGCCCACAAACCATTTGTTTACAAATGGCTTTTGTGCCGTTTTCAAATGTTAGCACTGAAGTCAGCCTTTAATCATGAGTAATATTGGAGTTAATTTGGAGTAACTCTGAGTAGCTCGAGTTGCTCATTATTGAATGCACGGTAACACAGCAACCTGTTTTTGTGTGTGTTTATTTCCAAATGTCAAGGTTAGATATTTGAGGAAGCAAGCATTCCTGAAGTCTACAACCCACCATCATCCATTGACGGATAATACTGGATCACTATCTTCAAATCCCATAATGCTGACCATCAACATGAAAAGGATTGCATTCGTAAAAAAATCCAAGTGTTTTAGCGTCTCTGAGAAGAGTTAATTCATTTTTCATAACATCTTTAATAGAGTAATATTAAATACACTTTGCCTGGTTATAAAAACATTTTTACATAGGTTCAGCTGGAAATCGATGAAAAATGTTCGTATGCAACCTTTACTTCTCTAGTATAATATCAAGTGGCATCATCACTACTACTAACAGCTTAATGGTACTTAGAAAATATCAAAAATGAATAATGATTCACATGGTTTTCTAGAATATTTATTAAAATAAATTCCATTTTATAGTAAATAGTTATGGAATCGATGGAAAAGAAACTTTTCATCGTCTAGTTACATTTGTTTATTCAAAACTTTAAGCTCGTTCAAACCAAATAAAGCTCGTAACCTTCTTGATTTTTGTTCTCTTTAAATTCGTTCTATCTAATTTGAATTGCGTAAATTTACTGTTACCCTAATTTGATAGAAACGTTAAGCGACCCATCATAATGCACACCTTTCTGGATGTTTCAACAACGATTTCACTGTTGCTGGCATATTCTCCGGAGCTATCTATATAGCTAGCTAATTTTCTATCTTATTGTCCACTCATACCCAAAAGCTTCCACTTGACTCTACGATTCCCCAAGCTAACCATATAATCCAAGCTAAAATATCCCATTTAGACCCTTCAAATGATTTCACAAAACTTCAGACGGATGCGATGGATCTTTATGGATGGATTGATTTGGATTGGATGTCTGGCTTGGATAATCTTAAAAACACACATCCTGCTCAAATTATTTTTCAAGATTTAACATATACCTAAAGGTAATTGGACTACCTAGTTAGTATTTGTATCATTATAATAAAATAATTTGAAAATATCACATTAGTTTATTCAAAGAGTTTTTATTTGTTATTTGTTGATGAATGTGCGACTACTTTGATCTATTTTGAGTAATCATGAGTTACTCAAATTTACTCGCTGCATAAATATTAACTCTGAGTACAGCTGGCTTGTCCCATAATTATTCTCGATTGAGCATGGCCATGCGCATGATTGGCCGCCCACGGTTGCTACTCTGTTATTGCCAGATCAGCTGCAATCACACAGAGAACCAATAGACGATGCTTGGGACCAGCAATCATCCTCAATGTGTAAAAATTGGTGATCTCAAACTAGGCAATACCAGCGCCGGCCGCGACCAAATGCAGGTCAAGAAAGCAATGAGTAGGAATGTGTTGAATGTCAATTCGCTTTGATGGAAGCCTTTGAAGAACACCTCTGCACTTCCACGAGGAATGACTGGGATGTTGGGTAAGAGGGGTGAGCAGGTTTTGTGTTGGTAAACGATAAGCTGAATTATATTAACAAATAAAACGATTGACGAATCTTACATGCGGATAGGCCTGAGATAAGACTCATGATGTTCTTCTCGATAAGCAAAAACGATCGCTCTAAGGCCACCGAGACCCTCATATCACATCATACCGTTAATCGAGTTGTTGTAACCATTCAAACCCGGCACCGACGACGATGACAAGTTTCGCAAAATACATGATAAACTAGCGATTTGACCATAAATTTATTTAATATAAAAGGACCTAGAACCGCGTTCTCCTGCTCAGTAAGTACGCCACTGCAACCGACGATCTTTTAAATTCGAAAACTAAAAGCTACGAAAAAGCACTTCATTAAGTTCCACTTTCACGCGAGGTTCTATGTTTCGACTTGCTCTTTAAGCATTGTGCAGGCTATCGGATTAAACAAGATATTAGTTCTCTAAGGCAGTCAATAATGTATCCCAAACAGGATCAAGCGTGCGCCCTATTTTACCTAAACATTCTGAAATGTTCCGCCCGAGATCTATCAGTTACGATTTTCTACAATAGTGGCCTGGGATAAATCGTAATATCTTTTCCCCACAATGCTGTGTTCGTAGGCAATTTTTTTTGGATTCTAGACCCCCCTCCCCCCTCCTGCGTAGACAATTGTCCATATAAAAATTTAAAAATTTGTAAGGGCCGTGC